GAGCAGCGAGAATCGAAACTTCGCATTAATCTCTTGGAATGTAGAGAGGCTAATGACTGATGCAATCATTGGTGAATTATTTAAGTTTGATGTGTTCGAGGTGCTGAAATTTAATGCGTGAAAGAAGTGGTTATTACGGTGTTAATTCTGGCAAGCTAACGAGCTTCAAGTGGCTGATGCGCTCGTTATGTTTGACTATGCCTTGTAAGTTTGATGCTATTCCTTGTTTCTCTGTCTTGCTTGAAATCGTTCGAAACGTTAACGCGGTCGTTTGTGGTCGCTGGTAATTGCCGCATGAATCACAGAGAAAGGTACAATCAAGAATTATGTAAATTTTGAATTAAAAAAAGAGATATAAAGAGGTAAGAGAGAGAGAGAGAGAGAGAGAGAGAGAGAGAGAGAGAGAAAGAGAGAGAATCTAAGAAAAAATACACAATCCAAGAAAATATAAAAAAAGTTTACTCTTTATTCTTTTAAAAAATAGAGGGAAAAAAAGCTTCCATTTAGATAGGAAAATATTATGTAATAATATTGTTTCTCTCACGAATAGGAATTATTTTAAAACTTTATTTGACAAATATGACAAAAACCTTTTATATCAGTCTATCTAATAGTTCTCGACTTTGGAAAATCTTCTCTTGTACATCTCCAATATCTATTTTTCTCTCATTTCCGGAGGATCGATGATATTCTTAGAACGTAGAATATAAATGGATGATTTCTGCCTTGACTTCATATCGAAATTACGTACGTATGTAATGCGTGCGTGGCGCTCGATATTCGCGATAGGTATAGTGGTTGACGAACATAATAGCGATATGTCAACGGAGTAGTTTCCCTACGTAAGTTCTCGTGTTCGGAATGTCACCCAATAATTTGCATATTCTTATCGTCAACGATAAGAAAAAAACAACGTGGGGTATAATATCGAGCGTATCATGAATGCGATTCTCCTCATGTAAGGCAGCTCATGGTAAATCGTTAATAAAAATATACTTTACAAACCTAAAAGTTTCGTAACGACTGCGCCCTGTTGGTTTAATGACAACACATGGTTGGCGAGATCGTTGTAATGCCTGAGTGCTCCTAATCCATGTGACAATTCGATTAGACGTTGCCGCGATGCGTTGCCATTATTGCCACTGGCGAAAGGACCGGCTGTACAATTTTGTAAATTCACACCTGCAATCAGAGAAATATTTCATTGTAATAATAATACGTATAATAATGAAATTATCATACCGAACAATTAATGATAATTGCTAGAACGAAATCTCGGTCGAAATCTGTTTCGATTACATTTTATTATCACATCTTCGTTCTTGACTTTGAATTATTTTCGTACACTAATTAACAAGATTCGAAAGATTGATGATTTTTACAGATCTGAAATAATCGGGGATCTACTTTTCTCACAAAGCTCTTTTTTAGGATCCCCAAAATCAATTGAATGCTTCGTTAAATTAACAATCAGCTGTGTAATCGCTGTGACGAAAGTGGTCACGGTCAAATAACTTGATGTTGAGGCACTTTAATTTAAGTTGCTAAACGTGATCTCGCGATCTTGTTATTGATATGATTTTAAAGAATGTTGATGAATGAAAAGCGCAGTCAAGAGATACCTGTCATTCAAATTATGATTAATAATTAACTTATATTCATATTCGCATAGACCTCGCATTACCTCGCACAGCATTTATATTCTTTTTAATAATATATTACTATATTACAAGAATTTTGATTTCAGATGTTTATCAATATTATTTTAATTTTCAATGATTATCTTTGCTTTCAAATTAACATGCTAATCAACTCTCTAAGGTTCTTGAAATGAAGTCTCACTTTGAATGAAAATATCGCCACTACTGAAAAAAATGAAAATATTTACACTCTTGAATAAGATTCACTCTTTTGGAATAATTTTATGTTTCATAATCTTATTTTTCATAGTTTTGTTTTATTTATATAATCTAATTGTGATACTAAATATTTATATTAACTTCAACAAGTATTGCAATTTTTTTATATAATTGAACATTTAAAACTTTTTAAACTAATAACAAAAAATTGTAATAAGCCCATACATTCTTTTAATGTTACAAAAAATATTTTCCTCTTTTTCTGTTACGAGTTAAATAATCATAATTTGTACATGATCTGCGCAACTTCTGATTGATATAACTTGATTTGAAAATCACCGGTTTCATTTAGATTTTTTTTTTCTTAAGTGAAGATATAGTGATAATATTTTTAAATGGTAATAAGCCAAAAAGACTAAAATGATATCAAGAAAGCGAAGAATATGCTAAGTGGAAAATTTACTCGTAGAAAATAATCTCCAAGGAGAGAAAACGTAATTACACAGCATGGCCAATAAAATCGCGACAAGGCGAAACGAGGGTCCAAGCGTAAATCGACGCGAGCTTAAAGATAATATGAATTAAATGTGAGATAGATGTTAATTACTGTACCGGCAGTTCTGCGATCAAAATTATGATGTGCTTATTATAGGTTCAGCTTCCTCGTAATCGCACTGTCGACTAATCTTAACAACGTTTAGTGCGGAGAGTCGCCCAGATGCCAATTTACGATCGAACGATATATAGCAATATAAAGAGCGTGTAATACCTGTCATTTTGTAAACGAGGAGCGCAATAGCTTTTTATCCAGTCGATCTTACATAAGGAGTTCGGCGATCGCGGGAGGAGACCATCGGATGAAATTAAATTCTAAGTGTTGGTAGAAAAACAGGTCCGTCGTGCTCATTTGTATCGCGTTGTTTTAATTGGTTTCAATGAGTGAACTCAGCGTGAATTCGCGACAGTTCGTTTACATAGTGAGAACGTCTAATTAATTAGTCCTTTATGAGTTCAGTGTATTACCAATCAGCTCGGTAAATGCATCTTGCGCAGATCATTTGCAATTTGTTATTCACGTAATCGAACGGCCACTTTTTCACAATTTATGGCGATAATATAGTTCATTATTAATGGCTCCTCATCAGGAATACAGTTAATCAGTATTTAAATTAACTGTAATCTGGAGAAGGAAAATTGACATGATATATTTTGGACGAATTTATTATAACATTGCAATGTCATGTGACTCCGTGAGAACGATGGACTCGTAATCAACCGGTCGCAACTTTAAATCCCGTATTTTGTGTACAAAATTTCGTAATCCGTATTGACTTAACAAGAGTCGCGGAGAAACTTTTACATTCAGAATGACTCCTTTGATTTAGATTTAGAATATACAAGGACTGATATGATGGTTTTATTCAAATATATATTTTCAGGTTTATCTAGCTAAGTTTTCAAACACTTCAGCAAAACGCCGTTTTTTTCCGTGTATCTTACATTAATAAGCATTAAATGTAGTAAATTTTACATTTCTTCACATTTTTATTATCTTTTTAGTCTTTTTGATTTATTATCATTTAAAAATATTATTACTACATTTTCACTAACAAAAAAATCTAAGTTAAATATTCGATAGTAGAATCAGGATTAATGATCATAAATTTCGTAGATTATGTAACGATTATCTAATTAAAGAGAAAAAACATGTCAATTATATTCGTAAAATTCCTGGAGAATTTTTGTTACAAAATTGAAGTGCTACTAAAATTATTTTCCGAAGAATCTCGTGTACAATGGTTGCCCGAAACGTCGAATAAAACTTATGCGAATCTCGCGAAGTCTCGCGCTTATCCCATCCGCTTCGAATGGCACATCGAGCGCGCATTCCGCGCTCGTTTCGTGTCAAAGCGATCGGAGGTATCGTGAAAACGAAAGTAGCCGATGCACAGAAAGAAATGCGTCCCATCGTTGCATCGATACCAAGCGGGAACCGGTTCTGAACGAGTTCTGGCATCAGGCCTCACGGTATATTCGTCTGTACATTCGAAATCGCCGCCAGTAAAGACCGATCGCTTGACACGGCAGTAATAGATAATAGAGAGAAAAACTGGAAGGCCGATTCTCTTTCTGCAGACTCGACGACTTCGTGAGATCGTTCATTCTGCGCTTCCGATGAGGTGGTTTTATCTGAACTGAGCAGATGGTTTCAAGTAAAATCGCGTCGCGTTACGAGTGTTTGCTAACGGTGCACGAATTAAGTTAACTCTTAAATGCAGACCATTCGTTGCAACACGCACACGCATAAAGATAAAATACAACAGAACACACTTAAATTATTTAAAAAGAATGTTCAAAGGAAATGCATGCAGATGTGAAGTTCATATCATATCTGTAATATGTGTATAGTGGAAAGAAAATTAATCGAATATAGAGTCTAATATGATAGAATAATTTAAACTACATTTATACATAGTCTGAGTCTTATAATAATTTTAATCAAGTAGAAATAAAATCTTGCAAGTAAAATTTGAGCGCAAATTAATTTATGAATTTTTTTACACGCGAAATATGACTCAAATAACACATAGATAGTTGTGTTTACACTCGAGGGCAGCGTCTCGCAAAAAAGTAATTTTATATTATCTGGCTATAATTTCTACAGAAATCGTGTTAAAAATAAATTGTACGTGTAATTGATAATCGATACACGGGCAAGTATTTTACGTAATAACTCTTTGATCAATTAAGTCCGTTTGATTAAGTTAAGTGACAAGATGTTACTCAAGAAAGAAATGAGAATTTAATGACATTTTAAATTTCATTTAACGAATGAAGATGTTCAGTACTTTTTGGTGCAAATATTATATATTACGTAACAAAACATAATTATAAAATCTCAAAGTAAAACTATATACGTTATGCGTCACTATGATTATGTATGGTTAATTATTCATAAATTTTATTCATGGCGTCATATATTGATCTATGTTTGTATTTTATGTTAAGTGATATAATATTATATTCCAAATTGAATGTTATCATAGAATTATGCAATTTGATATCATATTTATAGCATTGAATGTTAGAAAAGTCATCTATTCTTTTTATTTTCTTACTAATAGATTAATTTGTTATTATGATTATAAATGAAGAAATGATAATGAAGAAATGCGGATTATTATATGCGATTTAGATAGATGTAGAAAGTATAGTTCAACATGAAGTTCACGCGGAAAGAACGATTTTGCTGGCTTCTTACAGGCAAAATCCGCATAATAGGCAGTATTGGTATTGTTCGGGCCGTCAACATTGTCCAACGCGATTGGACAGGATTGGACATATATTTGAAATATTTTTATTTGAAAAACAGTATTGGTAAGACAATAATATTTTGTATTTTGTGTTTGTTCGGAATACATGAAAATATTTTGTATTTCATGAGAATATATAAAAGTATTTTAAACTTCAGTATTAATAACAAAAAATTATGAAAGTATGTATTTTGTATTTTGTATTTCAAATATTAACATTGATAATTAACCTTATTGAATTACAATACAAGGTACAAAAAGCTTTCAATCTTTCAATTTTAAATACAAAATACGTAATACTTTTATGTGATTCGCTAAAATAAAAAATACAAAATACGCTTGTATTGCAAATAGTGTGTTTTAAATAAAAGTATTTCCTGCAATTAAACAATGTTGACACGATTCGCAATGCCGACATTGTACAGCAGGCAACTTGCCCATAACATAATCTAAAAATTTAAATGGATACAAGTCTGAAAATAATTTTATTAGACCATAAAAATAATTACGTAAGAAGTATCTTACATCCCATGTGCCATAAAGTGGATGTTATTTATAATTTACTAGACTAGTTTAGTTAAATTTTTATAGATACTTGAACAAAACTAGTGTCAAAGAATAAAAAAAAGGAAATTACAATTCTTAACGAAACTGTAATCTGATTAGCAAGTAAGTCTATGCGTAATTAGTGCATACATCTTCGCGGATACTTTCGACGACCGTCAATTGGTCATCAAAGTTGTAACAAAGTACTGCGCGAAGACAACTATTAGCCGCAAGATATACTTGTTTCAAAACACTCTGAGTATGGTTGTAAAATTCCATGGCATCGTTTGCTGTCAAGTATCGAGTTCAGCATCAGAAACATCCGTGAACTTGTATCGGATCTTAAACTTAAATTAACTTTCCGCACACAAACCAAGCAGGAACTTTGTTTACCACGTCAAACTATCGAATTTATTCATAATTTTTAATTCGCAAACAATATTATCAAATCGCAATTTCAAAGAATCAATTTAGATATAATTCAGCATTTAAACAAATTGTATCATTCGAATACATAATAAGGATTATATAAATGCGCGGAAAGAATGGCTTTGCTGGCTTTTATAAATTTATTATCTCAACTAGAATTCTGGTAGACTTAATCAGAAAATCCTGATTCGTCCATTTTTTCCACTAGAATTATAATCCCATCAAATCATTTTTCTCACTAAATTTAATTTTAATCATAGACGTAATAAAAAAATTATGCATTGGCTAATCTTATAACATCTGCGCTTCATTAGAAAGAATTGAATCACATTAGTTTTCTATCAACATCTCAATTCTATCAACATCTCTTGACTTAATATTTTAAAGAGAGAAAGCGATATGATTTAAGCTACTTCACACTTTCTAAATAGTGACTTTCTAAATAGATAATTTTATAATAATAATTATCTGCAGTCTCTTATTACATCCAAGATTTTTATGATGAATGTTACATTGTCGGAAAAAAATATTACTCTTTCAATGCAATCAACAGATACGACTTCGTTATTTATGTATTAGTATATCTTTCATACGATAGTTCATATGGCCAAGTACCATAATGTGCTACCAGAACACCTGAAACACATTTTCTTTTGTCCTTTTTTGTCTTTTTCTCTTCCTTTCTGCTCGCTCGTGAACGAAAACGTTGCGTACATGGTATCTGCCTCGAAACGATCTGGGTGTGGTCGTAAAATCTCGTGGTTCTGGAACGAAGTGCTCCGCAAACGCGAGAGTACCCGCGGGATGGACGGGTATTGAGCGTTAAACGAGAGTAATACGTTCACCGATCCGAAGAGAAGTACTCGCGTTGCCAACGCATTGAAACCGGTTTCGAATGAGTGCGATACTTGGTAGCCCCCGTGCTTCGTCTGGCAAGTGCAAATCGCGGAAAGATCCGCGAACGTGCGGTAGTTGAACATGTCGTCGTAGGCGCATATCCACTGCTCTCAATCGAGCATGTCCTTTTTATCATTCTTTTTATCAATGGTTTTATGAGGCAAACAACCAAAGAGCATTTCACGCTGCATCAGACAGCATCGTAGAGAGCGAATAAGAAGTTCACCACATTGCATTCGTGTTAAATAATATCATAAGCCGAGTCTGTTGTATAATCGCGGGGTTTTGCTCCTCGTCGCTTTTTGACAACTTAATTAGCGGCCGAAAAGAGGCGGCAGCAATCATTGATAATGAACTGTAAGCAGAACTGTCCGCAGAACGTGTTTAAAATATTTTACACAGAAAAACTTCCTGATTATATTTGATTATGTTTTTTTTATATTGGTTACAAATTTAGCTAGATCTAAAAATAATTTTGTTTAAATCAAAATTATAACTATGTAAGATATTAAAGTTGATTGCTAGAATGTTAAAATTTTTTGCAATATATTAGCAATATATTAATGCTTAAACTTTCCATATAATTATTTCGATAGTTCAATAATATTATTTTCAGATCTACACAAATTTTTAAATATTTTAGCAAAATGTTCTTTTTGAATTATATATAGATATATATATATAGATATTTTGAAATTATTTAAAATTTTATAAACTGGTTTATCTGACATACAATAGTTTTTAATGGCGATTAAAATCGTGACAATTCTGAATCTCTGAAACAGAAATTATTTCGTATATACTGTTCTAATATTGTTCTGATTTACTTTTTTATTTTTACAATTCACACAAGTTGAATATTATATTTCAAAATTACAATCAAGATTTCGTAATTCTTCCGAGAGTTTTTTAAAGGCGAGAAATGCTTCCATTAACGTTAGTTACGAGACAAGTCCTGTACAGGTGTTCGCCTGTACAGGTGTTCAATGTTAATTGCAGTTACCATCCGCATCGAAAGATTCGCGTGGTGAAAGATCGTGAAACGATTCATAATTTAATTAGTTACTTAGTTATCTCTCATCAAACAAGATATAATCGATATACTCATTTATCGTCATGTGTATCACATATTTAACTTCTGCATTATCGAGAACATAAATAATTAAATTATATATTACTGTTCTTATATTTGTAAATTATATGTTTATTAGTTGTTCTATATAACTGTACCCTAGCAAATTAATAATATTATTAATATATGTATTATATAAAACGTATGCATATTATATAAAACAAAATACAATTAATCAGAAGATTATCTTTTCATCGTTTAATTTTTTATAATGTTTTTCGAAATAGTCAAAATTTATTTCAAAAACGATATCGAGTCTATAGTATTAAAAAAATTTGATAAAATCGATGATAAAGGAATTTTCCAAAAAAAATTATTTTATTATCACAAGTTTTATAAAATTCCCACGTTTTTTTGTATTACCTCGTTATTTCATTTCATGAATTATTGTCTCTAATATTGTCTATAATAGCCAAATATATTCAGGTGTTTCGAATATTCGATCTTTCCACACACACACACACACACACACACACACACACACACACACACACACACACACACACACACATTAAATAATTGTTTAAAATTTTAATAACGTATTGTGCAATTTTGATATAATAAAACGCATGAAACACAATTGTAAATAATGGTACGTGATGTATTTTGTAATTATCGATTTATCATGATATAACGAAATTAATTGGGCCTTCATTGCTTACATATGCATACATATCTGTCTTATCTCAGATATCCAAGAAAGAAAGAAAGAGGAATGTAATCGGGACGTATACAAAAATATTGCTGACAGAACGCAGAAGCACTTGCATGTCTTTTTTAGTGAGAATTGAAACTTGTTACAACGCATATAATTGACATTTAATTGCAGTAGATTTGAATAAAAGTAGCATCATTAAGATATTTCTAAAATGCCTATGTAAATATCAAATTATTAATGTTGATCAATTTTATTTGTGAGATATTACAATAGTTTAGTCGAACTGCATTTCGAGACCGAAAAAAACAATTCGACGGCAGTTTAAATAATTACACATATGTAAGTATATATAATATAAATTTATTAAATTATCTAAGTGCCTAAGGTCCAGCTTAACCGCCTTAAAGGCTTTATTTCTTACTTGTTGTGTAATCATATTTACAGTCTCAAGAAATTCTTTAATGTTCTTCAATGTAAATATTTATCTTCTCATGCTTAATGTTGAACTTTCCGTGAATCAATGAGTTTAATATACCCAAAAATCTCGTTTATACACGAAAAGAACGATTTTGCTAAAAAGATCTAAAATTTTGCTGATAGATATAGATCTGAAAATAATTTCGTTGGATCATCGAAGTAATTTTAAAAATTTAAATTGGTTGCTAGAAATCAAACTTTTTTGCAGTATTGCTCATTATTTTTTTTTAGTTTTTAACGTAATTATTTTAATGATCCAACACAATTATTTTTAAATCTGTATCCAGCAAAATTTTAGATTTTTCAACAAAATTCTTTCCATGTAACAATTATTGCAATAACATTTGTGTTGTAGAGGCTGTGCTTATTTTAAATTAAACAATGATTTGGTACCTGTTATATTATTATAGAGCTACCGTGTGAAAAGAAAACAATGAAAAAAAAGGCGTGAGAACTAAATGGAACGTTAAATCGACGAGAATAATCGGATTCGATTCGACTTAAAGACACGAACATCTTAGCATTCTTACTCACCATCGATCAGGGAAACAGGTACATTCAACTGCTGGTGATGATGCGCCGCCGGATGCTGCTGGTGATGGTGCGGTGGATGTACCTGTAGTAAGTGCGATCTCGTCTGGGAGAAGGTCGGCGACGGTGGTTCCCAAGGTCGGGCAACACCAGTGGTGGCGGGAACGTCTTCGTCCTGACAGCAGAACTTGTCACTTGCGCTCGAAGCGGTCGTACCGGTGCAATTCGCGACTCCGTGTCCGTCATTATTGTTGCTAATCTCCCCATTATTATTATTGTTGTTGTTGTTATTATTATTGGTACCGCTACTGCTATTGTTCGTGAGGCGCGTGGTAATTGCACCCGTTGCTGGGCTACCACTACCACTAGCACTGCCACTGACACTACCACTGCCAATGCCGTCGACCTGTACCATTTCGCTGTCGATCGCAGCCGCCGACTTGGCAGTACCAGGAGGAGTCGCAACGCCGCCACCGATCATCATCACCAGACGATCTCACCTCCGCCCCCTCCACGCTCAGCAACGGCTCCTCCCTCTCCCGTTCTTCCTCCACTTCTGCGAATGTACCACGTCTGTCTTTGAATAACTTCCGTTTCTCGCATTCAATGGATTTTTCTACGCGCTAATCGCGATTTTCAAATTATTGACAAGTATTTCCAGATTAACGTATCATCTGGCATTACTCTCGTTCGGAGTACAGCGCTTAAGAATATTCTCTTGTGCGTTAAGCAATATTGCTGAACGAGCATTTTTCAACTTGTATAAACAATATATCATAGAAATTATTAATAGGATCGTTTATCGATTTATCGCCATCGTCAAAAATTCGAATATTCATCCGTTGTCGTTGTATCTCTGCCTAAGTGCACATCGACAGAATCCGATATAAATTTAACGCATTCCCGTCTTATTCGCCGAATATCTGCAGTTCCCATTTGTTTTAAAAAAAAACTTCAACTTATCTTCATTGAAAACTGTCCGCCGAACTGTCACGTATGTACCACCGTCAGCCACTATCCTTCTGACAGCACAAACACGGACTCGTCACGTGACGCAAAATGATAAACAAATCGCTACGGAACCGATTAGCAAAACGGAATAATTAGTACGATCGCGCGATGACGATCACGATGCATCGCGACACGAGCTTTTACGCCGTCGCGACACTTGAGTTGAGCGGTGAGCCTAGTCGAAGCTGAGGAACCGAAGGCGCGGAGTACTGGAGCGCAGGCGCCTTCGACGAAGCTCGTGACCACGTTCTCCTCCTTCTCTTCCTCTTCCTCCTCCTCCTCCTCTTTCTTCTCCTCCACCTGGCCCTCTTCCCTCTCCGTACTCTTCTTCGCGTGTCGATCGCCCTCTCGTTTCTTCCGCCTACGAGGACTCCCTTCTCCAATGACAGGCAACGAGGGCTACTACGGCACCGGGGTAGCTTGCTTGCGCTCCGTCGGATTCGAGCGGATTGCCTTCCGCTCGGGCTTTCGAAGCGCGCCCAGACCTTCCCCCTCCCGCGGACTAGGGACTCGCCGAGGTGAGATCAAGATTTAATGTGACGTGACTTGCTCCGTCGCTCCATATACGCGGTCGATTTCTCCCCTCATATACCACCTTCTCCGTTTATCTTTTTTCTTTCGACACAGATCACCAGATTCATCTCTTCGCGCACTCTCCAGATACAAAAGAAAGAGAGATAAACTTCGTTGCACGAAAATGATTATTTTTTTCTTCTTTTATTTCTGTCCCTACGACAGTTCTACTCCTCACCGATGCATCGTTTCTCTTGTCACGCGATCGACTTGCCGAAGCTATCTTGTTCGTGCTCGAGCGTGAGGAACGAAAAGTGGGTTTTTCAATTCGTTTCTTTAGAAGGTTTCCATTATCAGCTGCTACAACGTGGATACATGCGACACGGTTTTGCTTCCCTCTTTGATAGCGTGGTGCTCTCTTGGAATTACCCTTCTTTCGCACTACCTTTGGACGATCAGACGCGAGTGTGTTACGCGGGGCAACCTGTTCGCTCTTCGCCGTATTCGAGCAGATTGCCTACCGCCGCGCGCTCCACTCGAAGCGCGCCCAGACTAGCCATACCCCCACCTTATACTCTTCCCGTAAAAGACTCCGTTCTTCTGCTTCTACCCGCCAAGAAGAGATCAAGATTTAAGGCGCCGCGCCGTGGTAACGGTGGCGGTAGCCGTGTCGATGAAAGAGGTGAATATGGGGGAAAGAAAGTGGCCGCGATTCGTAAACCTTCAAAAACGCAGAAGCTGCCGATTACATTAGGTTTAATCGCAAAAGGGTAGACGCGGAGTGGAAGATCCCAAACGCGGGGGCAGAGGAGACCCTATCGAAACCTAGTCGATGCGATATACAGACCAGGTGGGGAACGAACATCGTGGGGATGTATAGTAAGAAAGAGCGAAGGAGAGAGAGAAAGAAAGAGAGCCGGTAAAGTGCGCACTGCTGGCCGCGCATCTGAGCTTACTCAACGCCCACCAACCATTACCGAGTCGATCGACCAATTGGGCGATCTGGTAGCCGCCCACCGATCTGGTGCGTTCACTACTGCGTCGCCCACGCTTTTAAGCAGCGGCCTTCCGTTCTTCTCTCTAACCGATATAATACGCCGATCTTTACTGTTGATTGTTGCTAAGTCTATCCTAACACAATTTTGGCATTAGACGGACGGTACTTTCAATGTTAAATGATGAGAACCTTCAGGGATAATCGATTACGATGAACCTTCAGGGATGATTGAGTATGATTTAATCTGATAAAACTAGAGTACGAAATAATTGTCTGTAAGTATACAATGCAGAGAAGTTTTACGACGAAAATCTATTAAATTCCCCTCGAGATTATAAATCGCTAGTTATTGTTAGTATCGAGTCATAGAGAAAAATGTTTGATTGAATTAATTGCAGAATATAATAGAAAATGAACGATCCAGAATTTGGATAAATCTACTAAAATTCTAGTTAAAATAATCTAATTGAAATAAACATTCAGCTTTTCTGATTAAATCTATTAGAATTCTAGTAAATTTAACCAGAATTCTAGATCATTTATTTTTTACAAAAATTTCAGTTAATTCAACCAAACATTTTCTTCCGTGATGTATATAATTATAATTTAGAGAAAATTATCAGATATATTTGCTTATTACAGTTGTTTGTAACGTTTGAAGACAATCTTTCTCCGTAATAAAAAAACGTAAATTGTTAATGGACGCGCCATTTTTATTTACTATTTTTTTTTATAATTTTCTATAATCTTAAAATTAAAATTCTATTATAAAGTTTTTAATTTATTTTAATTTATTATTTTAAATTAACTGAAGAATAGTATATTGTCATGAATATAATTTGATGAAAGATCTTTCTTCTGAAGTTTAATTCAAAAGTCTATCTATTACTACAGCCAAATTATTATCAACGAAACTACACAATAATAATACTACTAAATAATAATAAAATCTCGTGGTTTTAGAACTCTGTATTAGATAAAAATTTAAATAGAATGCAAATGTGTGTTCAAATGTATGCGCGTATATAAAATCGTGATCCTTATTTGATATAATTAGCCTTTATCAATATAAATTATCAAAATTATTAAAATTATTCTGCAATTCGTCTAATTGAGATAAAAATATATATGAAATAATTTTGTAATTGTCATTTATTTACATAAGTATTGTTAGCACATCATTAATCAATTCCTTGAAATTGATATAAACAGAAAATAATTCAAACAGAAAATAATTGAGCATATATCGATCAATTTCAAGATGGGCATGAATAATAGCTATAATTCTCATACGCTATAGCTGCTTAACATACATTGCGAGTATGTCTATGCAGTATGAGAAATATAGTTGTGTCAATAATGGCACTCATGGCGGTTAGTGCAGATAATTGTTAATGGGAAGGGATGCAGATAATAGTAATTTGGAACAGCGAGACCATTTTATACACTCCACTGTTCTCTAAATAATAGCAATATATTTAATTATAGTTTCTTTAATAAAGAAGCGTTTCCATACAACTTGTATCTTCCTCGATATTAATGTTTATTACTTAATAAATAATATATATTTAATTTTAATAAATAAAATTCTCAAAAAATTTATTTAAAAAATTTTTTTAAACAATTATGTATACAGATGTCCGTAAAAATCGAGGGCTAAACATAGAAAAAGTTATGTATAAACTTATGTCTAAAAATGTTTTATTAAAAAGTTATAAGTTATACGTTCAAAAAGTTATACATTCAAGAATTTACGAGCAGAATGTGCATGTGTATGTATATGTGTATATATATTTACTACTATTTTTAATACAGTAGGAATATTCGAAAGAATTCGACATTAATTTGGCAAATGGAAGCCTGCACATTCTTTCAAAAGAAAGGATTTTCGAATATTTATTATTATATAATAAACTCTTGTAATAACTAATAATATAACTTAAATTATTATCCGAGTAATAATAAATGCTCGAAAATTCTTCTTTCTGAAAGAATACAGGTTTCCCGACTTCAATCTACTCGACTTCATTAACACACTGTACAGGTTTTTGGTCCCAATCGGTACGAACACCCTGTATACATATACATGAGGATGTAACCAGTACGTGCCATGCAAACGGGTCCGCATTTCTTCTTTCTGCATTTAAAGCTGCAATGCATCGCACGTTTTGACGGATTGAATGGATTTGAGATCTGCCGGGAACTTGCCGGAAAATTAATTTTTGTAGATATTGAATTTAGGAAGAGAATTCGACTCCATTGTAATTATAACACAGCACATTTTATCCAAGAGACAGTTTGGAAACGTCTTTAGAATGGATATGGAAACATTTTATAGACATCCCTTGGAAGTCTATACTGTATGGATAACTCAAGACATAATGTTACGCGATTTGACGAATTGTGACGATAGTGTTTATTATCATTTTGAAGTCCAATTTTTCATTATCTGATTGTGATTAAATTAACTTAATATTTCACCCAATGGATTTCATCCATGATCATCATAGATGAAGTCCATTGGATAAAACATCAGGTTAAGTCCACAAATTAATCAGAAAATGAAAAACTGGACCTGAAATAGTTTATTTGAGCAAAATAACTAAATTGTTTTTCTGACAACCGCTACATTTGATACATTTGGTAGAAAGAATGACCTTTGCTGATGTATATCTAAAAATTTAACTAGATACAGATCTAAAATAATTATAATTATTTCACAATCCAAATAATTATGTAAGAATATCAAATCAATGATGTAAAAAAATTTTAACATTTTAACAATCAGTTTGAGCGTTCAGCAATTGTTTGATAATTCAACAAAATTATATTTGCAGATCTGTATTTAGCTAAATTTTTAGATGCTTTAGTAAAACCATTCTTTCCGTGTGGAATCTTAATTAGATTAGAACAATATGTCTTAATGAATATTATCATATATTTGATCTTTGAACAAGTGTGTGACTACACACACCGAGGACTTTTTCGATACGTAGTGCGTAAATGCTACTAATAACGATTATTAATTAATAAGATTAATTGTTTAAGCAGCTGAATAAACTGATTTTTATTTCACCAATTACGGATTAGGCGTAATAAAGTTATTTAAGCAAGAGACGATAGCATTTTCCGCCGGTAAACTATTCGGCATCGACGAATGAGAGATTCATGTAATTCGCAACGACTGGCAATTTTATGCTCTTATTTTTGCGTTATACGTTAGAATTTTTACAGCATCGTTTAATCGTTACGTTCGAACAAAGAACAAAGGAAGGAAAAGTATAAAATCATCAGAGTCCGCGTGTCCCCGACAAAATTACAAGCCGCGCGATTACTCACCGCGAATTAACGCAACATGTGCTACATTGTTGCAAAAGTAGCAAAACATTCGTGACTGTTATTATCATTCGTGCGACGTGAATACGCGTAGTCGTGTGTCGTGCGAAAAAATAACGAGTCAGGCATCTGTTGAAAACAACTATTAATTACTGCATCAACGTATTAACTTTAATTGTTCTTAGACTTGTGCGGAATGAAGGAATCAAATGATAATGAATTCCCTGACCGAAATGAAAAATTAATGTATCATCGAATAGGAAGAATGATTTTGCTAAAACTTTAGCTAGATACAGATCTAAAAATAATTTTGTGTAGATCATCAAATAATTATGTATATAGAAAAAAATGTTACGATTGTTCCACAACCGGAAATAATGATAATTTTCGCCCATCAATATATTTGGTTGTAATAATTGT